ATGTAGCATTAGATGTGGTCTGGGTTTAAGAAGGAAGACTACTATACCCTATAATGTAGCATTAGATGTGGTCTGGGTTTAAGAAGGAAGACTACTATACCCTATAATGTAGCATTAGATGTGGTCTGGGTTTAAGAAGGAAGACTACTATACCCTATAATGTAGCATTAGATGTGGTCTGGGTTTAAGAAGGAAGACTACTATACCCTATAATGTAGCATTAGATGTGGTCTGGGTTTAAGAAGGAAGACTACTATACCCTATAATGTAGCATTAGATGTGGTCTGGGTTTAAGAAGGAAGACTACTATACCCTATAATGTAGCATTAGATGTGGTCTGGGTTTAAGAAGGAAGACTACTATACCCTATAATGTAGCATTAGATGTGGTCTGGGTTTAAGAAGGAAGACTACTATACCCTATAATGTAGCATTAGATGTGGTCTGGGTTTAAGAAGGAAGACTACTATACCCTATAATGTAGCATTAGATGTGGTCTGGGTTTAAGAAGGAAGACTACTATACCCTATAATGTAGCATTAGATGTGGTCTGGGTTTAAGAAGGAAGACTACTATACCCTGTAATGTAGCATTAGATGTGGTCTGGGTTTAAGAAGGAAGACTACTATACCCTATAATGTAGCATTAGATGTGGTCTGGGTTTAAGAAGGAAGACTACTATACCCTGTAATGTAGCATTAGATGTGGTCTGGGTTTAAGAAGGAAGACTACTATACCCTATAATGTAGCATTAGATGTGGTCTGGGTTTAAGAAGGAAGACTACTATAGCTACCTGATGTTTCAACGTCTGGCGTGGATGTCATCTTCAGAGTGAGAAAACGGACAGAGTCTGGTATAAATGCGAAAGGGTTTGTTTACAGTCAAAGTGCATGGGCATTAGTCATAGTTTTGTATGGTGCAAAAAGTATAATAGAACTCAATGAGGTTATAATAGTTTGTGTTGTAAGTATTGGTGTACCTCCTTTCTAGTAAGCAAGTCAATGTTATGGACATGAGTTAGCCCAATCTGTGATGTTTGGCTATGTGATCAAGTTACAGTMTTTGTTCTTAGTAGCACGTTTGTAAACATCTTAAAGTCATGATGAGTTTGTGGGYTGTGGTAAAAGTTCTGTGTAACAAAGTCAATGCTGTAACAGTTTTGGTCAAAAAAAYGACAARCCCTTTATGCATTTATACTGAGTCTGTCTGTTCGTTGTCTCACTCTGAAGATGACTTTAATGCAGGATGTCAAAATGGCTGTTAACTATAACACAGTCTTCCTCAAGATTTCTCACTCCTGGATGATCATACCACACCTACATTGCCTGCACCTGGGTTCAGACCATTCACTCTAATATAGCATTACCCACAAATGTAATAAATCTAATAATTTGTAAATGATCTCTCTAGCTGTAATTTTGCAGCCATGTCTAATTTAAATATTGCCTTCATTAGTCATTCATTGCTGATCAGTGTGATCATCTATATCAATGAATATTTCCAAAAGTTTCTTGGATTTGGGTATTAAATACAAAGTACAATTGTCTCTACTAGTTATACTAGTTTAAGAAAATGACTTTGACATGTTGAGCGATAGAAGCTTGAATTCAGTTTTATATGGTAAGAATGTGTTGATAATTTTAATTACTAGTAGGTGTGTAATGGCAGTAAAGAGGAACCATACACCAATCCATGTGCACCAGTTCACATCATAACAGGATCTGCTGTAAGTCTTATTTGACATTCCATTCAATGTTTGCACATTGACTAATTGATGAAAATGGTTTTACCCCAGGGCTGTTATTCAAAGCATGATCCATTCAAGCCATACTATGGGCCTTGGACAGCTTTCCGTAGTTTGGATTATGGATACACTCGCATGAAAATTGCCAACAAGACKCATTTGTATATAGAACAGCTAAGCACAGACCAGGTAAATTGTAGTTCTTAACCATGTACTCTTAAGCGCTGTTCACACGAGCAATTTTTCCTTGACAAGTTTTCCTTGACAAGGAAAAATTGCTCGTGTAAATGGGGTAAAATTGACAATTTTTCCTTGTCAAGGAAAAGCCAACATGTTC